TCACGACCCTACCAGCTGCCCAGAGAGACAATACAGCCCAGCCAGAGGCACCTCCAGGGAACGGGACCTTCCCTTTTGGGACCCTACAGCTGACTCAGGGGAACTCAGACTGTGAGCTCCCTACCCGCCAGCCTCCCAGGGTGTGGCTGGCATGTTCCAAGAATGGTGCCGACTCAGAGGCTGGAGAGACATAGACCTAGCTTGGGCTCCCTGTGGGTGAATTTGGATCGGAACTCCTCTCCCTGGTGGGGATACAGTTTGAACTATGGGACCCAGAGGTCAGACCTGCAGACCAGATCCCCTGCACCGAGGGCTAGCATTGCCCGGGGCACGGAAGAGTTATACGTGAACAGCCTACTGAGGTGTGGGTGCCTCCAGGGGCGGATCAGCGAAAGAACTCAGGAAATATGAAGAACCAAACGGAAAACACACCCCCAAAGAGGAGCACCACCCCTAGAAACGGACACCAACCAAAATCAGGCAACCAAAATGACAAAGAGGTATTTCGTATGTGGATCACAAGAACACTCACCCATCTGCAACAACAACTCAATAACCAACACAAAGAAACCACAAAAAGCCTCCAGGATATGGAAAAAGAAATAGACACAATGAAGAAAAGTGTAACCGACTCCTGGAAATGAAGAATCAATTCAAGGAACTACAAAATACAGTGGAAAGTCTCAAGAACAGGGTAGATCAAACAGAAGAAAGAATCTCAGAGCTTGAGATAACAACACCACAATGCCAAAATGCTAAGGTAGTAATAGACTCCTCGAGAAGTGTGTTTCCATCACATTGATACTTTATGTGACGGCTATATACATACAAAATGAGTGAGATGTGCACCATCTGGGGGATGGTCATGATGGAGACTCAGACTTTTGGGGGGAGGGGGGAAATGGGCATTTATTGAAACCTTAAAATCTGTACCCCCATAATATGCCGAAAAAAAAAAAATGAAGGGAGCAAAGAAAAAGAAGACTGGGATAAGAGTAAGCCACAATCCCTCCAATTTTACAACAAAGGTGCCTGTTTTGTAGAAACCAGATATAGACCCCAAAGAATGGAACCTATGATCATTTTTAAATGGTTTACACTAGATAAGCCTGGGTGCCTGCAGGTCAAACAGAATCTCCACAGATACTGGACCTCAGAGGGTCTAATGGCTAACCAGAGACACTGATGGCTCCAGCCAGGACTGCAAACTGCCTGGGAGAGGGAGTCAGCACTTTTACCGCCCCAGAGAGTAACCCAACACCACACAATAACTATGCCAGTTAGGCAACTTCACCAGATGCTTACTGCACTTCACTCCCTGTTCTTTCTCAGCCCTGGAGGGGCCAAAATCAGCTGGCATCAAAAATGAGAGGAAGTAAACATAGGAGATGGCTCCTGTCATGATTCTCTGCCCCTTGCAGGTCTGGAGATGAGGCCCAGCAGAAACATTCTTAGATTAAAATTTTAAACTTTTACATCAGAACATAATTTCCTTAAATACTAAACTGAAATTTGCCTTCTGAATGAAGAGATAAGAAGACTTATGACACCTGTGTTATGGCACCTTCATTCTTGCCCCATTCTAATTCACTCCCTGCACTACTATCAATTCACTGGGCCCTCACCCCACCCCTAGCCTACTCACTTAAAACTCTTGAACTATTCAGACACTTTCACAACAAAGACAAAAATCCTATTGCAACCTAAAAGGCACTATCTTATTCTCTGCCCTTACTTTAAAGGTCCTTCCTTCCACAGACCCTTCATTCTTAGAATATGGCTTAGTATTTTTTCATATGACATACTTTTGTATATAAGTCTTCAAAAGGCTTAGAAAACCTTCACCTTTCTTTCCAATAGCATTTTGCCATGTTAACTCATACATGCCTCTCAGCTCTCAACTTAGAGTCTTCTGAGTTTTTTGAATCTTTGCTTACCCTTTAATTGTACATACTCTGGGAAAAATATGATCCTCACATTACACTTCTTGATTCTCCATCACTTTCTTTCAGATTGCTTTTTTTCAGTTTGTATTTTCATAATTAATACAGTACAACACTAGATTGTAAACTCCATGAGGTCAAGGACAGCGACCATTATAGTTTAGGGTTATGTGCACTGTTCCTAGCACAATGGCTTGACAGTCTGAAGCTCCTAAATAAAAACTGTGACTACATTATGTCGACCATGGTTGATTCACAGCCTGTGTGTGCAAGCATGTGTGTGTGGTGTTTTGTGGCAAATGAATGAACTTCCCACTGAGGACTGATTTTCATGGTCTAAAATTTTACAGTGTACAATGTACTTATTCCTAAAAATAAATGCATGTCTTTTCAGTTATATTCATTAGGCTTAATTCTAACATCTCAGGTTGTCTTCTGAACTAAGGAATATAGTCATAAATTATCTCCCCTAAAAATATCTAATGAAAAATAAACACAAAAAGGATCTATAATTTTCTTGGCCATCAGGGAGACCCAATAAGCCTCCATCATAAAAATCTACAGAACAAAAGTAATTATGATTAAAAAAGAGAGCATGCATTGATAGAATGCCAGTACATAGAGACCTATGAAATAAAATCCAAAAGGCAAGCACAATGCCTTTGAAAATTAAATGCTGTTTTATTGAATCTGATTTTCATGAAGGAAATAAAAAGCATTAGTTTCCTTCCAAAAGAAAGCTTCTTAAAAAATAGTTTCTAAGTAGTACCTTTATCTAAGTGTATAATATTCTGTTTCCCTTCTCACTGACAGAATTCAATAAAATATAAATAAATCTTAATCCAAACATTCTACATTTTGCATGGGCATATTATTCCTTAATCAATCAAAATGCAAGAAAATATGTAATTTTCTAAAATGTATCAGGCTTTTATTTTCATTATCAATAAAGGTGGAAACTTGGAGCTATTATCTAGGTAATAGCAGTTTTAGGTATCTAAAAAGCAGTTTTAAAATTATATGAGTTATAGCAGTTTAGATGTTTTCAGCCCAGGTTGAACCAAGGTACTTTGTATAAATATTTCAAAATGTTAAGAATATCCAGATGTAAAATAGCTAACGAAAAGAGCTGATAATTTGTCTTATTTGAATGAATTTAAAATAGTGTAGTAAGTATGACAGTACATACTTTGTATTTTGCAATGTAAATTAAACAGTATTGAGATTTACCATTTCCAGGGCATGATAAGCAGAATCAGCAATATCTAGGCATATCTGGAAGTCCTAGACTAAATCCTTTGTTCTTTTCCAGAAATAAGCCAGCAGTATGATGTTAAATTTTCAAAATTGTTGCTTTTTATAAAGTGATTATAGGGAAAAAATGTAGATTTAACAAAAGGCTTTTAGGTGTGATTAATTTTTGTTTGTAAAAGTTTGGAAATTGTGCTGGGGTTTGTTTTTGTTTCCTTTTGATTTAATGAATGTGTGGGTACAAAGAGTTCTATTTGAAAGCAGTTAATAAAGAATTAGGATATTTATGGTGACAGAAAAATAAGAATTTTAGTGTTGAGTGATTACCATGGTTGTTTTGCCCACTAGCTATAAACATGAATGGAATGACAATTTAATCACAGACCTGCACTTCTGTATGATAGAAGACAAAATGTCATGGATTTTAATTCATTATCTGCTAACTTCAACAGGTACTTTCAAGAGTTTGCTAATTTCAATTTAACTCATTAGTCTTTGGTTTTCGAAAACTGCCATCTCTGTTTAAACTGTCTTAATTGTTACGGCTTAAGTCATGCCTATTTTAGAATGTCTAATGCTAATTATATCAATCCCTATTGCTCTGTCTCTTTATCTTGCTTCATTAAAATCACTATGATTCAAGGACTCTGCTGTAGTCAGTGAAATATTTCCCTTTCATCCCATGAAATGACCTCTCTCTAGGAACCCCGATAGTACTTTGAAGAGCGGAGTTGTGTACCTCACTGAAAGTACTCATATTCTGCCTTGTATTATTATTATCTGCAAAATTTCTCCCTGACTACTCCCCATTCTTGGTTCTAAACTCATTGAGAAAAAAGTCATACAAAGTGTGCAGCTCTTTATCAAATACGGGCTCTATAAACATTTGTTAAATTGTGTTAGCCAAACAAAGTCTCACCAAAAATTAAGATAATTTATTGAAATAATACCTAGCAGACTTGTTGTTGCTCCCCTCAATATTTTTGTACAGATTAAGAATATAGGTTGAGAATAATAAAAAGTTAGACCATTCCCTTTGATTTCCTCTCTATAATCATGCATATAATGGATAAGTAAATCCATGGGAATTAGTGGAGCATTTTTAAGTAACCAAGGAAAACATTACTATATCACTAGTTTTTTTATCACCCACTAAAGGGGCTGAAAATAATTAAACTGATTTATGAAGAGCCTGCCTTATCTCAAAGTATGAATTATAAACAGAGGAATACTGAATAAAATGCCAGCAATAAGTTCTATCAGCAGAAAACTACTAATTAAAATAACTTACCTTATAACTAAGATAACCAAGTAGTATTGTTTCAAAGAGGCTTATCAATGCCACTGAAACCTAAAATATAAATTGTAACTTAATGAGACTATGCAATAAAATTAAAATATATATTCATGATTATACTATTAATATTAACTTTATTTTTATGACACACATACATGATATAGGAGGTATGAGGAGGCACTTTAACTTCTATAAACAGGTGGCGGGCTACGGGCAATAGTTTTCTGCTCTCTTGTTCTAGAGCATAGTTTTTATAATTTCTAATATTCTTTAAAAATATTTTTTATCGGCCAGGCGCAGTGGTTCACGCCTGTAATCCTAGCACTCTGGGAGGCCGAGGTGGGAGGATTGCTTGAGCTCAGGAGTTTGAGACCAGCCTGAGCAACAGCGAGACCCCGTCTCTACTATAAATGAAAAGAAATTAATTGGTTAACTAATATATATAGAAAAAATTAGCCAGGCATGGTGGCACATGCCTGTAGTCCCAGCTACTCGGGAGGCTGAGGCAGGAGGATCGCTTGAGCCAAGGAGTTTGAGGTTGCTGTGAGCTAGGCTGATGCCATGGCACTCATTCTAGCCTGGGCAACAAAGTGAGACTCTGTCTCAAAAAAAAAAAAAAATATTTTTTATTATTCGAAATGTTAAAGTAGGATTAGAATAGTCAGACTAGCTGGAGTCTACATGATATGTACAAAAATGGGTCATTTTGTGTATGTTCCTAACACATACAATCACACACACTGTACTGCCACAAATAACTGCCCTTTTGCAGCAGCTGTATCACCAGCTCTGCCAAAATCAGCATTTCACTTAGGAAAATACAAAAAATAAAAGAATGCAAGCTTCATGGTGAATGATATATTCAATCCTTTCATCCACATCAAACAAAATGAAATGGTAACATCCATGAATGCTAAACAAAATATACCATATAAGCACTTCCAGATACTTTGAGATTTTATTTGAATGAACTTCATAATCATTTTCCCCTTGTGCAGATGGTACTCCTGCATCCTCTAGACATTCTTTCATCTTTCTCTATATTCTCTATAGTACATACAATTTCTACTGTTCACAAAAAAATCTATCATTGCAACAGAGAAAGTAATTAGAAAAGATAAAATTATTCTGTGTTAAATACTCTAAGCTATTAAGGACAGATAAATAGAATCAAATAAGCACACATAAACAGGAAATGACTCTGATAAATATATTTGTTTATAGATTTTTGAGGTTTAAGACAATTTCAATGAGAGAAGCAGATACCCTTGAGATTAAATTGTGTCTCCTGTTCGAATAAAATCTTGGAATTTAAGTGAATATTCAAAAATGAGAATAATAAAAAACAGATGAATGCATAACAGTCTAAGTAAAATATGTTCAGAAGTGCATGTAGTAGCCACTAATTTATAATGATAGAAAATTCAAACTTCTTTGGTTTTCTCTACAAGTTCACTAAATCATCCATGTTTTCTTTTCTAGAGGTACACAGTGCTAAATAATTATTAGAATATTTTTATCATAAGTAACTCAAAGTACTATTTAAAATGAGCATTATTATTTTAAAATATTACTGTTAAATAAAATAATTTTAGTAGATCAAAATATATTTTAAGATAACATGACTATTCATGAAATATTAATTTATTTTAAATGTGTATTTAATTGAAGGATAATATAGGAATCTAGCTCAGAGATTAAATGGCTATATTTTTTAAATTTTAACACTGATCACTGGTTATTTATTTGTGCAATGGCTTTACATGTGGACATTAACAGTGCAAACAAGACCACATATAACCATCAAGATACCTTGATTTGAATTTAGAGGACTAGACATTTTTAATGAACACTTTAATATTTGAAAGGGGTTTTATAAATTAATGTGACATGACAAAAAACGTCAATGTACAAAAACATAAAAATGACTTCAACAAAATATGAAATATCCAGACATAGTAAAATTTTGATTTCATAGTTATGATCACAATGTATACATACTTAAAAGAATTCGGTAGCACATACAAAATGTACAGATTTCACAATCATCGTGATTGTAAAATGAAAATGAAACATTTAATTTAAAAGTATTTTAAAGATTGTTTTTAAACTAAAAGTCTTAAAGTCTTTCCTTTTCCTCCAGACTCAACTGTCTTCTGATCTCCGATTCTTTTTTGTTACTGATTCTATTCTTCCAATTTATTTGTACAGAAAAAAAAGAAAAGAAACAAAAAAAAGAAAAGAAAAGAAAAGAAAAGGAAAGAAAAGAAAAAGGATCTGTAGGAGGTAAACAGAAGTAGAGGAGGTAGAAACTTGTAAAAAGTTTGCTGGGCATGAAAACCAGTAGAAAAAGGATCAAATAAGAGGTACTGGTGACTCTGGGGAACACCTCAACAATACAGCTAAGACATGCTGTTTTTTCTCTCTCTTTTTTTTTTTTTTTTTTTTTACTTTTTCTTATGGACGCCTTTTCTGTCAGGGCATAGTTTTTGCTTTATTTACAAAACTAACTGGTTAGGAACTAAATTCTTACTATTGGTAATATGAGTTATTCTTTCATTTGTTCATTCATTTAACAATTACTTATTGAGACTCTATCATGTTCTAAGCACCAAGGATATATGGTAAAAAAACAAACATGTCTATGGACTCCTGATTAATTTTACAAGAATTATATAAAAAGAATACCTAATGTAATTTGGGAAAACTTATGAAGCCTTAAAATATTGGATTACTTTGGTTTTCTCCACACTCTAAAGAGCTCCTTGAAATCTAACTTCTGAAAACCAGGAGATTCTCAAAAGGTAGGATGCAGGGCTCAGGTAAACGAGAACAAAGAAATAAAAATGTTAGTCTAAGATGTACATCAAGATTAATTAAACAGGAAGACAAACTCATTTTGAATATCAACAATTTTCTCTCCAATGGTATTTCTCTGTGAAATATGATTAACCCGGAAATATAGGAATAAAACAAAATTGTACATAACCTGTAAGCCCCATAAAGGTAGACTTCTGTTCACCCAAAAGATATGAGACCTATAAAAAGAATAATAAGATGTTAGTTTTAAAAATGTGAAAAATCCATTTACTTTTAAAATACAATTAAAGTTTAAAATATTAAAATAATGCTAGAATAAAAAAGACAAACTCTCAACATTAAGATTAAAAAAAACTTTTTTGTTTTAGTTTTCTTTCTGCTAATGTTCATTTATATTCCAGTAAAAACTTGTTCAATTTCGCTTGCAGTCACTATTAATAATGAATGGTCATATAAGGAGCCATCATTTAAAGAATGATATGGCAAGGCAAAAAACCCTAAAACACTTTACTAGAAAATTCTCCACTGAAAAGTCACTTATGAGTCTTACATATACTCTAAAATTTTGTTATTGTTTTTATAAACTAAAATTTTGTTGTTGCTTTATGCTTTTCTTGCTTTTATAAACATTTGATATAAATATTCAGGCATTACAAGTTCAATAGTGTAAATAATAATAAAGTCATTAACTCAGAGTACACAAGACAATAGTATTTCAGATTTTAATTCTTATAACATATTTAACATATCACAAAAAAATAACCTGTGACTAGGGTCAGCATAGAACATTAGGTGAGACAGATCGTCCTTAAATACCTCTTAAAAGTAATCATTTCTGATGTCAAAAAATGCTTATACTCTGCCGAGAACACAATAACACTTTTATGGTCTTACTAATTCGAATTATCCACTATTTTTACCCTACCTCTAACTACATCATTTGATCTACAGTTGATTAAAATAGGAGTTACTCACACCAATATATCCTACTTGAGTAAAGTTGAAAAGTTACATTTTCCTGTTCCCCCAGAAATATAAATAATAACTCCCAAAACAAATAAAACAAAACCCACTCACTTTTGTTTTGGGGGGGTTTTCTAGAGACAGAATCTCACTCTGTCCCTAGGCTAGAGTGCCATGGCATCAGCCTAGCTTGCAGCAACCTCAAACTCCTGGGCCAAACCATCCGCTTGCCTCAGTCTCCCGAGTAGCTAGGACTACAGGCGTGAGCCACCACACTTAGCTTATTTTTTGTTTCTATTTTTAGTTGCCAGGCTAATTTTTTTCTATTTTTAGTAGAGATGGGGTCTCGCTCTTGCTCAGGCTGGTCTCAAACTCCTGAGCTCAAGCAATCCTCCTGCCTTGGCCTCCCAGAGTGCTAGGATTACAGGTGTGAGCAACTGCACCTGGCCCCATTCACTCTTTGTATTATGAAATAAGACAGGAGTTCCATGAAGTATTGTACATGTAAATCCTTAAGTCGTTTTCTGTTTGGTAGTATGTTAAACAATAACAAAGAGCAATAAACTCTTCAAAATTCTTGTTTTAAAAGAATGGCAAAACTTCAACATCATACTAAATGGGGAAAAATTTGAAAGCATTCCCACTTAGAACTGGAACCAGACAAGAATGTCCTCTATCTCTCCACTTCTATTCAACATAGTGCTGGAAGTCCTTGCTAGAGCAATTAGACAAGAGAGGGCAATTAACAGCGTCCAAAGGGGGCAAAAGAGATCAAACTCTCACTCTTTGCTGATGATATGATATTATATCTAGAAAATCCCAAGTATTCGACCAAGAGACTCCTGGAATTGATAAACGAATTCAGTAAAGTCTCAGGATACAAAATCAATACAAACATATCAGAGGCATTCATATATGACAGTAACAGTCAAACTGAGAACCAAATCAAAGACTCACTACACTTCACAATAACAACACAGAAAATAAAGTACTAGGGAATATATTTACCTAAGGAGGTTAAAGACCTCTACCGGGAGAGCTATGAAACAGAGGATGTAAACAGGTGCAAAATCATACCATGATCGTGGGTCAGCAGAATCAACATTGTTAAAATGTCTATACTACCCAAAGTGATCTACAGATTCAATGCAATCCCTATTAAAATACCAACATCATTTTTCACAGATATAGAAAAAATAATTTTACACTTTCTATGGAACCAGAGAAGACCCCACATAGCAAAAGCTATCCTAGGCAAAAAGAACAAAATGGGAGACATCAATTTATCAGACTTCAAACTATACTACAAGGCTATAGCAATTAAAACAGCTTAGGACTGGCACAAGAACAGGGATACAGACCAGTGGAACAGAACTGAGAACCCAGATATAAAACCATCCTCATATAGTCATCTAATCTTTGACAAAGCAGACAAAAACATACGCTGGGGAAAAGAATCCCTTTTCAATAAATGGTGCTGGGAAAACTGGATAGCCACCTGTAGAAGGCTAAAACAGGACCCACACCTTTCACCTCTCACAAAAATCAACTCACGGTGGGTAATAGACTTAGACCTAAGGCATGAAACTATTCGAATTCTAGGAAAAAACGTCGGAAAAACTCTTACAGACATTGGCCTACGCAAAGAATTTATGAAGAAGGCCCCAAAGGCAATCACAGCAACAACAAAAATAAATAAATGGGACCTGATCAAATTAAAAAGCTTCTGCACAGCAAAAGAAACTATTAAGAGAGCAAACAGAAAACCTACAGAATGGGAGAAAATATTCACACGCTACACATCGGATAAAGGGCTAATAACTAGAATCTATTTAGAACTAAGGGAAATCAGCAATAAAAAAATCAAACAACCCTATCAAAAAGTGGGCAAAGGACATAAACAGAAACTTTTCAAAAGAAGACAGAATAATGGCCAACAAACATATGAGAAAATGCTCAACATCTCTAATCATCAGGGAAATCCAAATCAAAACTACAATGAAATATCACTTATCTCCAGTGAGAATGGCCTTTATCAAAAAGTACCCAAACAATAAATGTTGGCATGGATGCAGAGAGATAGGAACACTACTACACTGCTGGTGGGACTCCAAACGAGTTCAACCTCTGTGGCAAGCAATATGGAGATACCTCAGAGAGATACAAGTAGATCTACCATTTGATCCAGCAATACCATTGCTGGGCATCTACACAAAACAACAAAAGACGTTCTATAAAAAAGATATCTGCACTCAAATGTTTATAGCAGCAAGACTCACAATTGCAAAGATGTGGAGACAACCCAAGTGCCCATCAATACACAAGTGGATTGATAAAATGTGGTATATGTATACCATGGAGTACTATTCAGCTATAAGAAACAATGGTGATATAGCACCGCTTGTATTTTCCTGGATAGAGCCGGAACGCATTCTACTAAGTGAAGTATCCAAAGAATGGAAAAATAAGCACCACATGTACTCACCAGCAAATTGGTTTTAATTGATCAACACCTAAGTGGACATATAGGAATAACATTTATTGGGTGTCGGGCAGATGAGAGGGGGGAGGAGGGGATGGGTATATACATACATAATGAGTGTGATAAGCACCATCTGGGGGATGGACACAGTTTAAGCTCTGACTTGGGGGGGGAAGGGGGAGCAAGGGCAATATATGTAACCTAAGCATTTGTACCTCCATAATATACTGAAATAAAAAAATGAAAAATATGGCAAAACTCTAAAAAGCCACTCAAAATAGCGACATAGCATATTAAACTAAAGTGCTCTTAACTTCCAGAATGTCACTTCTACCAGGCTGACATTGTCAATCACTCTAAACAAAACTTGTGATCTTTTCCCCAAATACTGGTCGTCTTCGTTTTTCACATCTCAGTAAATGGAATAAAATCCCATTGTGTTTGGCTACTGAAAACCTAAGCATCATCATAGATCCTGTCTTCTTCTGTAACTTTAAATATTTAATCCATCAGTCATCAAATCTTTTCAATTTTTCCCACCAAATATCTGTAAAATTCATCTACTCTTTTCATCTCTACAACCACCTTATTCTAAGCTACCAGTTTTCACAATTGGACTCATGCAAAAATCTATCTATGGAGACCCTGCACCTTCTTTTGCCTTCTACAATTTTTCTCCAAATTGCAATGACACTGATTCTTTCAAAATGCATTTTAGATCACATTACCCTGCGAGGTATGGGTTTGCACTTTTGTTATTATAAAGACCAAAACTCTTAACATGGCAGTCTTAAATTTATTCAAGTGTGCATGCTCAAAGATTGATAGTGCTCCAAAATAAACTAACACAAACTTGTATTGCATTAACAAATAATAAACAAATAAACTAGGGTTATAAATTATAAAACTCTCCTAACCACAACAATCACTAGGACCTGACTGAGTATTGTTCTAGGTCCACATTTCAAGAACATGTAAAATTTAGTATGCATCCAAAAACAAGGTGACCAGGATATGAAAGCATACTACAGTCTTGCCAATACATTCAAAAGACTTTTCAGTAACTGAATTCTTTCAAAACACTGAAAATACTTAACCCCGGTTAGACAAACAACTGTCAAGGGTGTTGCAGAGAGGACTGATTGCTGATTCTTTGTGAAAATGGACATTAAGAGCCTTTCCACCTGACATACATGGCTGTGGCAGAGATGACTTTCATTCATTATCAATATTCATTCTCCCTCTTCCATGGCACAGAGGTGAGTGCACAAAACCAGTTTTCAGCTGGACTACATTTCTCAGTCTTTCTGTTGAGATATCATAATATGACTAACTCTCACATGAGATCTGAGTATAAAATATTTTAATGCAAGTAAAAGTGAAGTTTGTCATTGTTGGCCAGGAATTTTTAAAATTACATGTGCCATCTCCATGCTCTTTTTCTCTTTGTGAAAGCTGAATGCAAAGGATTCAGGCCTTAGGACAACATGTAGCTGCAAAATGCAAGTGGTTTGCACATATAATATTATACTTATCACATGATGATGTGTATTTATGTGTGTATGTGCGTTTGTGTGTGTGAATTACTATTTGGAGAAAAGGTCCACACTGACCAGAAAAATCAGAATTAGACTCTCTAGTAAATAAAAAAGTTCTTTTGAATTCTTGAGATTTTATGTTAGACTACTAGGTGTTACTTTAATCTATAAAAATAGTCAATATATGTGAAAGAAGAAAAGGTAAACATTAAAACATTTATTCCTATAGATCATCAAATATTTAAAAGCTATGGTGAAAATAATATTTCTTCTTTTAAAAGTTGTTAGCCCAAGGAAGAATAATCTTTAAAATTTGAATGTTACCTGAACACACCATTGGCTACATTAGGCACTGATTTTAAATGCAAATCCAAACACCATAAAATATAAGCATGTCGATGTGCTTCCTACTTTTGCCTCTACCATTTGCTGCTCAAAAGTAATAATCAGTTCAACCATTTTAAAAGTGGAAACAGATGAATGAGTTTTGACACCGTGAAGAACTGTAAGCATCAGCAGACAGTGAATCAATGTTGATGGTTCATCTTTCAATGTAACTTATAAACTACATGCTGCAGGTGTGTTTCCTTTGCTAACACCTTCAAATCATTTACTACACACTGTGTATACACTAGAGTTTGCCATTAGACACTGTCACACATTAACAGTAAAATTCTTTTCCTATCCTTCAGTTTGTGCACATTGCAACATTTTCTTATCCATTTTGATTCCTACGAAGGGACTTAAAAATAAAATAAGCAGCACAAAATACTTGCAGATTCATCATGTCAGAAGCCCTAATTAAATAAATCTCTGCTTAATTAGACTCATTATTTTAAAATAGAGCCTGTGCACATAAAGGCCATTTCTGTTTTTCATTAACCGATACTGCATTGACAATGGGAACTAAACAGAACATTGTACTCAAAATGGAGCCATAAGTTAGTTTGTTATGTTTTTTTAATTACAGTAATCTGATTTTTTAAATGTATATCTTCTATAATTATGGCTGAATATTCTTAGTAATATTACATAGAAGTTAATTGTAGGAAACTTTGTTCCTCTTAATGTTTCCAAATAATCTAATTTTACTCTGCTGTCACCAACCAGTACCCTTTTACCCTTAGACGGATTCAATCATGGTTCATTTTAGGATTTTGAGTTCTCTCTAGTGTATATTTTATTATAAGTGACCAAGTTAAAAAAAATTCTGGTATGACTGTAGAAGAATTTCTTACGTGAATCATTTAAATAATACAGAAAAATGTAATAAATGTAATATGCACATGTCCAGGCAGTGGTCCTCAATCGTCTTCATTGGGCACCACTATTAATAAAATTGTTTAGCATCATTCCATTAATTCAGCAACATTCACTGACTTGTCATGTCCTGTGCTAAGTATGACAGCTACAGGACCAGATACAACATGGCCCCTGCCCTTGGTGGGCATACAGAGAGCACAAAGAAGTGAATGGTGAAATCAAGGGTATTGTATTAGATGTTGTGAGAGAAGTATGGGAGATGCTCCTAGAGTACCCAGAAGACAATCCTAACCCAAAATGGAACTGGGCTACAAGGCATAATACCTGGGAATGGTCTCAGACTAAATATTATCCAAGTTTTTCTGAAGGTCCAGGAGTCCTGAAGCAAGTCACAAAAGGGTGGATTGTGAGGAGAAGTGGAAAACAGACTTCCAAGAAGAGGGAGCAGAATGTTCAAGGGCACAGAGACAGGGAGAGCAAAGTATGTATATAGGTTACCTCAAGTAGGTGAGCATGGCTAGAGTAAGAAGCGAGTGAGTTAAGGTAAGCAAAATTAGATTATTAAGAAATTTAAATAACTATCGGTTGCCTAATTTGTGCCAAGCTCTAGGGATTTAGACAATGATATATGCTATCATGGAATATATCTTCAAGTACCTATGGGATACATGGGAAACAAACAAGAAAAATTAGTGGAATATATAAAAGAAATAAAGGCACTGGAGAAAGCAATAAAAAAGAAAAAGAGGAAAAAAACTATTCCAGGAAGTCTCATGATGAGATTACAATTTTAAACGGGATGCTTAATATGATTTTGAGTAAAGATCTGAGGATGTGTGCCTTATGTTATATGATGGAAGAAAATTCCAGACAGAAGGAATAGTCCCTATAAAGGCCCTATGCCAGAGTGTCTGGTATGATCCAAGAACAGAGAGGAGGCCAATGTGGCTGGAGAAGAATAGGTGAAGGATGAATAGTGGGAGGTGAAGTTAAAGGGAAAAGAGAGGTGCTTATAGGCTATGGTAAGCGCTTTCACATTCAAAGCAGTCACATCAAGATGTGACTTATGTTTAACAAGAAAAGCTCCCACATTAAGAATATACCAAAAAGGAGGAAAGGCAGAATCAGTGGGACCAATTAGGAGGTAGGTTATAGAGTAATCCAGGTGAAAGAAGGTGGCTTACGCCAGAGTGGCATGGAGAAGTGATTGTGTGCCAGGTATATTTTGAAAGCTGAAATGACAGAATTTTCTAAGGAGTTTGCATATGCTGCAGACAAACAGAGAAGTTAAGAATGACTCCAAAGCATTTGGCATGAGCAACTGTTAGAATGAAGTTGTCATGATCTGAAATGTGGAAGGCTGTGAGTAGAACAGGGTTTAGGGGAAGGATGGAGTTGTCATTCATTGGGATGAAGAAGAGCGAAAAAGAAGCTGATTGGAACATGGTGAGTCTGAAATGCCTATTAGAGATCCAAGTAGAAAAGTTGAACATGCAGTTGGAATTTGGAGAAATGAGAACGCACTGTCTTCCTGTGGTCACTGAGGTAACAGGGATAGAAGACATAACAAGATTAGTCCTGAGGGTCCCAAAATAGAAAGTGGCAAATATGAGAAAACTTCTGCTTCTTTATGTGTAAGGTGAAAATAATAAGATTAAGTACATATTGAAGGAAATAACACATGTAAAGCAACCAGTTTAATGGCAGAAAATAGCAGGAGCTCCAAAATAAACAATTTTTTCACAGGTTGAAAATTCCCTTAGGGTATTGAATGTTTCTATGCATCTCTGTATATCTTCATTTATAGCAATGTGACAGGTACATGCTAAATATTAGGTAAAGATATTTATATTGCATTAAATAAATTATTTTGTAAAGAATTATCACACAGATTATTATAAGATAAAACTTATTAATAAAAGATAAAACTTATTTAACTTATCTCCAAACCTTTGAATAAGTACAGAATCATGTTTACTATCTAAACAAGCTAAAGAGTAACCAATTTAAATGCATATTATGAGCTCACTTTCTATTTTACCTTGATCTTTTCATTTTTAAATTTTCTTAGCAAAAACTTTCACATAAAAAATAATTGTACACAAGTTAGTTATCAAATTTAAGTTTTCTTCTTTGAAAATTATTATAAATTTAGTAGACTGGACAGGAGTGCAGGATGGTGACAAAATAAAAATTATGCATGTAATTACACAAGCAGTCCCCTTTCCTACTGCTTCTAGCAAAAGACAGAGCCTAATAAGGAAAGTGCATAAATGAATAGAAATACAATTTAATAACAGCAACAGGATTATGAATGAAAAATAAGTTCAATTAATAAATTAATGTCATTTAACTCAAATAAGATAAAGAACTGTACAGGCTAAAACTGAGACTTGAGATAGTTATGCATCCCAATATATGCTGAAGTATTTCCATTCAAGGGTATTAACTACAGTATAACTGAAAATATCTGCAAAGCTGGCATACAATAGAATAAACCTTTTGGGAATATATGTAAATCAAAAATAGGAAGTCATTAAGGTCTTTAAAGAAACTAACTCATATTAAACAACAATTACTTAGAGCACTTTAGCAATAAAATTTTTATGGTTCAAAGTCAAATATTAGCATCAAACAAATATATAAACAATAAAAGAACAGATGCTTACAAAGAACCTACAAGAATTGCATTCATGTAATGCCTGTAAATCAAATCAATTTAATTTATGAAAAACACCTAAAATATCCTTGAAAAAATAGGTTATATAATAAGGTAACATTGTTTAAAATGTGATACAATTCAAAATAACCCAAAGACTTCTGTTGAAGGTCAAAGATACCTTACCATTCATTTCCTTGTGAAGGGCTTTCTAGTAGTACTCGGATTATGTACAACAAGCAGCTCAATAATTTGAGAGAAAAATTGAACAGGCGTATTCTTAAACCTTTTAAACAAACAATAAAAGTTTGATTTTCATTTGAACTTAGTTCACAAAAGACTAAAAAGAATTGTCAAAAATATCAACTTTAAGTACAGCACTTGAATTGTATTTAGAAGCTAGAACACGATAATTGTCTAAACTCTCTGAAGTTCTTGTTAGCTGAATTTTAATTACCTGAATATTGAAACAAAAGTGAGTTTGACAGAATACATGAACTGCAAATGACAGTGCATATTATATATAGTGAGAATAAATCTAGGTTTGAACATTCAGAAGCTACAAAATTTATGTCCAGTCAAGGTTAGATCAAGTATGCTTATCAAGTTGAAGCATTTTATATATCCATGAATTTGGGGATAAAGTTTAGCTAGCTAGAAAATCTAGCTGCTTATAGATTCCTAGGTTAAGTTATAAATCTTAGACCTTCAGAGCACCTTACAGATTTTATTATAGAGAAATTATAATTATACTTACATAATTATATGTTATATATTTGATATTAATTATATATTATGATATCTATAAATTATATAATTATTACATTATATAAAAAATCATAAAAGCATATATTGTTGAGAAATTCTCACACACACAAAGTTTTAGCTCAACCAATTAAATCTTATTTTTACCTAAGTTACAATACTACACCCATGAAATCTTAAAAAATCTTGTTGGAATTAAGGCTGCCATATATGTATCTTTTAAACTGTGTAGGTCACAATTATGTAGCCTGTGATATTTAATGATGATGAAGAAGAGTAATTAATTAAAATATGCATAAAGTCTGATTAATAGGAACATTACCTTTTCTGTAATTATCTAGTGGTATCTGATTCATGCATTATGAATAAAATTTTGATAAAGGCCATCCTATAATTACTACTTAATAAAATCTAAAAATGAAATGTCACTTTTTTCTACTCTGCTATATGTGAGTGTACTTGTGGTAACATTTCTTAACAGTAAAAAGGTTAATGCTTATTAATTGTGGAATTTTTCCTAGGTTTTTCTATTAAAATATTGAGTACATTTTATGGGTTAGCATTCTCACAAGGTCTTTTAAATCATTAACCAAACATAGAAATGGATTTCCTCAAAAGACTGCTTAGTCAAAGATGACTGCTGATGAAGTATTCAAACAATGCATCCTTCTTTTCTGGCCTGGAAAGACAGGATTGTTAGTATTGAAAGCAAGGAACCCTTCTATTCAGCTGATGTGGACCCTTTAGGTAATATCTATTGATGGGGTTTCCTTGGAGATTCTATAAAACCAGGCTAGAAAGGCATTAGCTATTACTAGCCTTAACCCTGAGGTTAGCCTACAATTAAGAATATCTGACCAGTAGGCCTTAAATATTGAAGTACTCCCTATAGTCAGTATTTGGATAAGTTCCCATAAGTCAGGCTTCTCTCTTTGAATCCTACCTAAAAGAGGCACCAAATTTTGACCACCCCAAGAGGACTCAGGAGTCAAAATTCACAAAGTATACACCTATCTAATATGCAGACCTCTCCATTTCTTGTTGACATTTTTAGCAATAAAAAATTGCATACTGGTATATTACATATGGCTTTTTAAAATATGTGGTATTATGAAAGACAACAAGTATTATGGACTCTTTAACCTTGAATGGGCTGAGGAAGGCAGTGACTATGCCAATTGCAGGTCTTCTTGAAGTTGCAATGTTTCCCAAATTGGTTTGATGATAAAAATCGCTAGAATATTAAGCTCTGAAATTAACTTTACACTTCCTGATTCAAAATCTCCAGGCTAAGCATCAGTAGGAATCTGCATATTTCAGAGCACCTTAGATATGTTTCTTAATATCAGGCATGACTGGAAAACATTAAACTCTTCCTTCACTAAATCAGACAATTATTCCCTATTGAGGTCTATCAAAATCACCAGAACTTTCTGAGTTAGATGTTCTTCCCAGTTAAAATTTAGAGACCCCCTCTTTTTTTCCCTTAATGTTTTTGCTAATGCACATAATCCTCAATCAGAAGTCTACTTACTGATGTGGGACCTGGAGAATTAAAGATGTTCAAGAGGGACTAACATCACTACATGTAGTTCCTATAGTTTTCTAAAATTTTACTGCCTGGCAGATTGGCACACAAGATTACCAATTTTATTCTTCTATATAAAAAAAATTTTGCAAAAGATTGCACAATTGACATTTTTTGAGGTAAATATATGTACAAACACAAAAAGGGGAATAAAATGAATAACTTACTTGATCTCTGGTTCTTAATGAAAAATAATTTTAGTCTCTCTTTGAATGTGTTTTCATTCATATAGAATTCAACTTGTACCCTGAAAATAGAAAACAAAAACTTGTAAAATTATGCAAGTTCAATCATATCTTAATTTTTATGAAGATTAACACATATAAAGTTGCTTTGTAATTCTCTAATGAACCTAAAGACTAATATATACAAAAAGTTATTTGATTTAATGCATTATATATTTGAGTGAATTCTCTGCCAGAAAATGAAAATTGAGTAAAATACTGATTTGGGGGAGAGAAGCAGTTACTTCCTAATTTTAAAAAGATAGTCAATTTAAATATCATATTCAGTCAATTCAATTGTCTGTATTAATGAATGATTCAAAACAGTGAGAACACAAAAGTCTTTAATAAGTATTTTGGGAGTGATTTTGAATCAAGGTTTTCTGATTTTTTTTTTTCATGTTGTAAGAATCCATTGAAGCTTAAAAAATTCAATTTGGGCAACAACTCCCCAGATCTACTAAATCAGAAGCGTGAAGAACAGGGCCTGAAAATTGATACTTAATAAACCCTTCACTGCACCTAGGGCCTATTTGGGACACCATATTATATAATACTTTACCTTCTTATTTGTTTATTTAGGCTAATATTAAAATATATATGGATCAACAAAGAAATGGTAGTGGCAAGTAAAATATTAAAGTTACCATAGATTATAAAGCAGACAACTCAATTAATAGGCTGAATATTATATATTCAAACAACTACCAAATAACATCAACAGTTTTTAAAATAGTAGTATTTTAATAAATACATTTGCTTTTTGTCGAAATTCTAGGAAACTGCCTCTTGTATAATAGGGCACAATTAATATTTTCAAAATAGTGAGTGAAAAGAAAAATTATGACATTAATAATCATCAATTTTCTTAACTAGTCACTGATATATTTCAGTTAGGATTTCAAAAACAGCTAAGAAAGGATTTCAAAGGATTAAGATTTCAAACCAAGAAAGTATTAATATTCTAATGTTTTATAAACAACAAAGATTTAAATTCATTTTTCCTAATATCACATTTTGAATATGTAATCTATATAAACCAGATATGTTTTTGGTGTTTCTGGTGTTTTGCTTTTGTTATTGTTTTTTTGCAAGACTATAGATCTGAGAGAAAATTGGGAGGAAAAATAACTGACATATGAAGATGTTCATGTATTAGAGAAATATTTCACTACTATAATATTTTATAATGTATTATCCTGTATATTCAAGAAGACCCAGGAATAGTTTAAAAGCAGTCTTGTGCCACAAAAGCAAATCTTTTATTTTAATCAATTGCAAACCAAGTTTTATTTGTTATACCTTCTAACAGACTTGAATATTCTCTAACTTTTGTCTCTTCTCCATAAAGAAAATATTTCTATCCACAATTTTTAATTCCTTTTATCATTTTCTTATTTTTGCTTCAACTTATATGTAAAAATGGTAAAAAGAAAAACTAGAAAGCAAGATTTTCACTTGCTGATGTCTATAGAAATGATGAATGATTCAAAACAGTGAGAACACAAAAGTCTTTAATAAGTATTTTGGGAATCATTTTGAATCAAGGTTATCTGATTTTTTTTCCATGTTGTAAGAATCCATTGAAGCTTAAAAAATTCAATATTTGGGCAACAACTCCCCAGATCTACTAAATCAGAAGCGTGAAGAACAGGGCCTGAAAATTGATACTTAATAAACCCTTCACTGCACCTAGGGCCTATTTGGGACAGCCATAAATATTGCAGTGATGTCTTTCACGAGAACACTTCCATATGCATGTCTGTGTACATGCTCACATCCCTACAAACCCACACACTCACACATACTACGAAAGACCACACATAAACATAGACACAAAACTCCAATATTATCTTGGAAATCCACCACTGGATCTGTTTCCTTTGTTTATCAAATGAAAAGTCAATTCATTTTAAATAAAGTAACTATAATACTAATATCAAGCTAAATGAGTTAAAATTGTTATGGATACAAAAACAAATCTGAGAGGACATATGGTTATTACACAAGTAATTCAGCAAAGGCCATGCAGATTTGCTTCCTAGAATTATCAAATTTATAAGAATACGAATCAATTCTTCAGAAAATGTCTGGAGTCCAGTACTGGATATATAACAGAAGAGCATTTTTTAACTTAAATGAGATCATCTAAACCCTTAACCAAAATAATGAGAGATCTGGAAAACATATCACATGGGAAAAGTAGAAGACACTGGAAATATATAATAAATATGAAGAGTCAGGAGTCATACAATGATTATCTTTAAATATTAAAGGAGTCAACATTACTAAAATGGGATGATGCATAATGTGATGCTCTATTGAATAGAATTAAAAATAGAGAAATAAGCAAATTATGAATGAGAATTACCCAACTATGATATGGCCATCATTGTGAAGTAGAGAGCTCTCCAATACATATAAATGTGCCAAAGACTGGATAACAACTTGCAAGCCACTGTTTTTTTTCCCCTGAGAGTAAAGATAATTTCACAAGATGTGAGGTTCTCATTAAATAACTTCTGAATCCCCATCTAATTATAAAATTATGTAAATTAAAAGTCTTAACAAATCTAGTGATCTGAGTCAATAGTATCCTTGAGAAATATGGATGATATTAAAGCATGAATTTATACAAACGCTTTTTAAAGAAAAAGGAAAAAAAGCAAGTAAGAGCACTTTGTGGTCCTCGACTTCTTCTCGATACAGAAAAATGTCCGTTAAGCTTCTTGGTTATCATACAGAGTAGAGCTTTCCTTTATTTGGTCTAATGACAACTCTTCACAGAATCATGGCATGGTAGTGATAACATACGCTTTCAGGACCTTTCCCATAACCATACAAATATAGTTCTCTAGTACTCAGGGATTTAGTAGAGTTTAGTGTTTATCTTTCTGAATGTTTTTCACAATTTTAACTGATTTCATACATTCTCTCAGTATTTCTTTACTGTTTTAGATTTAACTGTGCTTTCCTTCTCTCCCTTCCTCCATTCTTTCTGCTTTCCTTCCTTTCCTCTTTCCTGACATCCTCTCTTCTGAATTCCCGATCTCAATATAATTTTATCTGAATTTACTCACAGTTGTAGACTATGTTAGTGTACCTATTTCTGGACCTTCTCCTGAACCAGAGTTTTGAATAAGACAGTAGGGCAAATCTGCCCTCATCACTTTTTAAAATGTCATTTTTATCACACCTTACACCAAAGATAAAATTTAGGATCATATTGTCATATTTACCCTAATGCAATAATAATGACTGGTGATTTTAATCTTGAAAATGAGCCACATGGGTGCCCTGAGACCAAGGTGGATAATGATGAGCTGAAAGCTGTAGTGGAAGTCAGGACATAAAGGTAAACCATTTCTACACTATACTGTTAACATGTAATGAAAAATGGATTATTTTTGACAATCACAAGCATTCGGCACAATGGTTGGATAAACATGAAGTGCAGAAAAACAGTCCAAAACCGGATATTCATCAAAAAAAGCTACTGATGTGTGTTTGACAGTCAAGTGTTGCTATTATCCACTACAGCATCAGGAAACCTGGTCAATCAATTACAGTGGATGTCTACAGCAACTAACTGGACAAAATGATGAGTATGCTTGTGATCAAGCAGCTGAGACTGGTCAACAGAGACAGGTCAATCCTGTTGCAAGATGATGCCAGGCATGGAGCATGTGCCTACTGTCCTAGCTACTGAGGAGACTGAGGCAGAAGGATTGCTTGAACCTAGGAGTTCAAGATTGCAGTGAGCTGTAATAAAGCCACTACACTCCAGCCAAAAAAAAAAAAAAGAATTAACAGAGATAAAATAATGGACTCTAGAATCAGATGATATACATTGGATTACCAGGTCTGCTAACTGTTATTCTCTGTAAAATGATGATATTACTTCTATTTAACAGGGTTGTTATGGAAATTAAGGAAGATACTATATATATAAATCATACAACCGAACAATGGCAACTAATTATTTTTTCTGGTGTGTTGGTAATAAAAAATATTACTAGAATAAACATTTATAATTGGAAAAACAAAAACTGTGGATCACCTATTTCAATTTGATATGGTTGATTCCCACAAGAAACATCTACTCGGGAAAAATAAGGGTATAAGACAATAAAGAACTTCCACTATTTACTTCAGAAAATTTCTGCAGATCAATTTATTGGAGACAATAAATAGTCTCGTCACGTGGGTAAAAAGATCATTTATCAAACAATAGCTTCCTCATTAAGACTTGCTTCAAAGCCCTCACTTCGCTGTGTTCAATAATGCTAAAAAGATTTGTCAAGAACTTTGACCATTCCAAATCAGTGTTCCACCTTGAAAGATTCCCCTTTCACTACTGGAGCATTGATCCCAAATCCTGATAAATATATCACTTCTAGGATCTTTCTCCTGAAACATTACTAAAGCTTACTACATGCAGGGAGTTTGAATAAACATAGTTTTGTTTAATTAACAGGGTTTCTGGTGACATTTCAATTACTTAAACAATAGTATAAAAGGAGTTATCCTATACCTGCCACTCCATAACCTAATTATTTTTACTCAAAGTTAGAAAATGAAATCCATATCATTTTTAATGACTATATGGTATTCTTCTATATTAATACTTCCTAATTCTTCACCACTCCCCAACTAATGGATCTTTAGGTTTTGTCTGCAATCATAAATAACAATAAAGAAAAAATATTTTATAATAGTAATAAAAATAAGTAAATAATAAATATATTTTCTACATTAATACTAAATAATGTGAAATCTGAATGTTAAGTTTTAAAAATATATATGTCAAAGAATAACAGCAGTAATCTAAAATTCTAGTTATATTTTCATCATTTTAATAAATAAGCCTCTTCCATGGAACCATCTCAATATATTTTCTCCAAACTGTTTGAAAAAAAAGAAAATGATATAGTAAAAATGTGAAAATATTATACTAGAGAAAACTCAGTGAGTTCTGTCAGAAAATTTATCCAAAACTTGAAAATAGATAAAGGCAATTACT